GCCTCCCAAAGGCGCGGGATTACAGGCTGAGCCACCGAGCCTGGCTAATTTTTTGATTTTACTGTAGAGATGAGGTCTCGCCTGCCCAGACGGGTCTCGAACCCGCAAGCTCAGGCAGTTCACTCACCTCAGCCTCCCAAGGGCGCGGGATTACAGGCTGAGCCACCGAGCCCGGCTCTGCGTTGATCTTTAGCGTTGCCTGGCTCAGTGCCCTGACAGTGGGGCCTCAGCCTTGACTTGCTCATGCACATTGCCCTCCCCGGGCAGCCTGGGCCATCCCTCTCTACCTGTCCTCTGACTTGATAGCTCTGCCTCTGGGGGCTGCCCTGTCAAGATGGGGGGGGTAACTGGCCCCCCTGAGCATCACAGAAATACCCTCCAAAGGTCCCAGAGGATCCCCCACGCAGGCTGTCTGGGATCCTAACTTGCTGGTCTTCTCTGGGCATTGGGTTCCTCCTGAGATGTCATCAGAGAGGACCGCTGTGCCCCACTCTGGTTAGGAACCATCGGATGAGAACCTCTGAGGACTCGGCCTGGGGCATGGGGAGGATCAGTTACACTCTAGGGGTGGACGTGAGTCTGGGGGCTTTGCGGTCTTGGATTGGAGACCTCACCACTCACCGTGTGATCTGGCAGCCTGTAGCTCTGCAAAATAGGAGTGGTGATGAGACCCACCTGGCAGGTCTTGGTGATGTCAGAGGTTCTGTAGGGTGGGAAGGAAGGAGATGGGCCCCTTCTCCTACCTGCCACGAGTCTCAGGGCTCTTGTGAGCTCCTCTTTCCAGGGGAGAGTTGTTTGCAGCTTTGGGGGAGGGGGCTTGGCAGCTCCCTCATCTCCTTCAAAAATATGGGGGCTTGGGGCCCAGTGTGGTGGCTCATGCCTGTAATCCTAACACTTTGGGAGGCTGAGGCAGGAGAATCACTTGAACCCAAGAGTTTGAAACCAGCCTGGGCAGCATAGTCTCCAAAAAATTTAAAAATTAGCTGGGCTTGGTGGCATGCGCCTGTATTTCCAGCTACTCAGGAGGCTGAGGTAGGAGGATTGCTTGAGCCCAGGGGATTGAGGCTGCGGAGATCATGTGTACTCCAGCCTGGGTGACAGAGTGAGACCCTGACTTTAAAAACAAAACAGAAATAGTAGAAGAGATGGGGGCTTGGGGCTCCAAAGCCCAGCCCTGTCCCTTCCCATCTCGAGTACTTCACATGGTTTCCCGGGGCCTTGGTGTCCTTCCCCGTGAGTGGTGGCCCCTTTCTCATGAGAAATTTCAGGAAGTTCCCCTTGTGGGCTCAACTCTGTTACCTCTGCAGGATGGCAGCCAGCACCCCCTGCCAGCCTGGCTGTCCCCACCCTGAGCTGTCTCTGCACCCCTGGCTCTTTTACAGGCAGATCATGGCAGAGTTCTCCCAGAAACGGGGGAAGCGGCGTGGCGATGAGGGCCTGGGCAGTGTGGTGGACTTCCTCCTGGCCAATGCCCGGCTGGTGCTGGGCGTGGGCGGGGCTGCTGTGCTGGGCATCGCCACCTTGGCTGTGAAGCGGGTAAGGCCAGGTGGGCGGGTCACCCCTGAGGCTCCCAGGGGAGGACGCCAGGGTTGGGGCCTGCAGCGAGGCCCAGAGGCAGGGGTGGGGACCGCGCACGGCTGGTGCTGGGCCCAGGGCACCTGCTTCTCCAACCCAGCACCCTGGTCTGCTTGGCCCTTGGTCTTGCTCTGACTGCCAGCCTTTGGATGCTCTGCTCTGTGCCTTTCTGCCTGCAGTTCATCGACAGGGCCACCAGCCCAAGAGATGAGGATGACGCCAAGGGGGATGGCTGGAAGGAACTGAGCCTGCTCAAGGCCACACCTCACCTGCAGCCCCGGCCCCCGCCTGCGGCCCTCAGTCAGCCTGTGTCCCTCCTGTCCCCCTCACCCTCTGCCCCAGGTGAGTGTCCCCCCACCCCGTGGTGCCGGTGGTTCCTCCTTTGGTGGTTATATTCAGGACATGCAGCCTAGGCTCTGCCGTCGACCGGCCGTGCGACCTAGGCGAGTCCCTGTTCCTCTCTGGGCTGTGGGCTCCTCCGATGCTGAATGGGGATCGAGTTTATCTCCCCTCCCACTGGAGCGAGGGTTGCGACGTTGGGAAGCTTCACATGGGGAAACCGAGGCCCAGAGAGGGGCAGGACCTGTCTTCCCACGCTGCATGAAGCTGTTGTCGTCACAGGGCCAGGGCACTGGCCTGAACTAAGTGCTTTCTCGGTTGCCCTTAAGGGTGAGGCAAGTGAGGGACGTCACACGGCCGGTTGCCAGGTAGCATTCTCTTGACTAGCCACGGGCCCTCCCAACGTACTTCCTGCCCCTTCCTCTGCAGAGGGGCCTGCAGACACGGACTCTCAGGTGCCACCGCAGCTCCATGCCCTGGCCCCACTGTGCCTGACTCTCCAGGAGAGGCTGCTGGCATTCGAGCGTGAGCACGTGACCATCCCCGCAGCCCAGGTGGCTTTGGCCAAACAGCTGGCCGGTGACATTGCCCTGGAGCTGCAGGCCTACTTTCGGAGCAAGTTCCCAGAACTGCCCTTCGGGGCGCTCGTGCCTGGGGGGCCGCTCTACGACGGGCTGCAGGCGGGGGCCGCCGACCATGTGCGTCTCCTGGTGCCGCTGGTGCTGGAGCCCAGCCTGTGGAGCTTGGTGCCAGGTGCGGACACTGTGGCCAGAGACCCTCGCT